AGGGCTAATATTCTTGTGGTGGTGTTCTTTTGGGTAGGGGGGCGGTTAGGTCGTCTGGCTGTGGGCTCCCCCCAGGTCCCTTGGGTCTCTTCCTGTCACCGCAGCGGCCATCTAGCCCCCGCCTCCAGCCTCGGACGCAGACGTTCTTCCACATCAAACCTTGGCCGGCCGGCCCCTCTCCCGGCCTGCTGACGCCAGCTCTGAGCCAAGGCCAGGCGCGGGATTGATAGAGAACACGCTAGCCCTGGGAAGCGGGGGATGTCCCACACTCCCAGGTGGAAGGGGCGGCCGGTAGATAAGAACAGCCAGGCTGGCTCAGCCCAATGGTCCATCTTGCCCAGTGTCCTGCCAGATGCCTCTGAGGAAACGAACAGAACCAGGAAAAGAACAGAATCAGGAAATTGGCGAGTGATCCCTGCGCCCGGCCTCGCTGCTTAATTTGTAACAAGAGAGCTGCTGGGCTCAGGCAATTGTTTTACTTTCATAACGGACGTGGCAAACCTGGAGGTGCCGGGCTCTGAGCTGCCAGGCCCGGAGGTGCCGGGCTCTGAGCTGCCAGGTCTGAAGGTGCCGGGCTCTGAGATGCCAGGTCTGAAGGTGCTGGGCTCTGAGATGCCAGGCTCGGAGGTGCTGGGCTCTGAGCTGCCAGGTCTGAAGGTGCCGGGCTCTGAGATGCCAGGCTCGGAGGTGCCAGGACTCACAGCTGCTGAGCTGCCAGGCCCAGCTGGGCTCTTAGCTGCCAGATCTGGAGGTGCCGGGCTCTGAGATGCCAGGCCTGGAGGTGCCGGGAGGAGGAGGGGGATCCAGGTAGCGAGCTTGCCCAGTAAAGGAGAAAGGAGGGTGGTTCGCCCTCCCCCGGCCATTGGCTGAGACCAAACCTGGGACCCCTGGAGCCCGAAGCCGGCACGCTTGCTAACTGAGGCAAAGGGCCAGCTTGCCTAACTGGCCGGCAGCAGCATGCTCCTAAGCTGCTGTGCAAAGTCTGTCCCCTAGCGGGCACCAGAGAGCAAGCACCTTCCAGGGACACCCCCAGGAAATCCGTGCAGGGTGAAGACGGTGCCTTGTGGGGGCTGGAAGGCTCCCCCCCCCATAGTGAGCGTGGGGGGATGTGTAAGGGGGGGGGAAAGGGCCAGCTTGCCTAACTGGCCGGCAGCAGCATGCTCCTAAGCTGCTGTGCAAAGTCTGTCCCCTAGCGGGCACCAGAGAGCAAGCACCTTCCAGGGACACCCCCAGGAAATCCGTGCAGGGTGAAGACGGTGCCTTGTGGGGGCTGGAAGGCTCCCCCCCCCATAGTGAGCGTGGGGGGATGTTGTAGGGGGGGGGCAAAAGGACGATAGGACTGGATGCGGGGCCTGGTACCAGAAGGGGGGAGCAGGTGTGGCGGAGCCGAGAACTGGGGAAGTTGCGACAGGGATGGGGAAGGGACCCATGGGGGGGCGGGGGAGGTTGGCAGGACATTGCAAACTCCCGGCAGCGTTGGGCCTTTATTATTATTTTAATCTTATTTAATTCCCCCACCCCCCATTGGAGGTGTGAGTGATGAGTGGCGCAGAGCTGGGGAGACAGTAGGAGGCAGAGGCAGAGACAGGTTGTGGGGGGGAGGCAGAGACAGCCCCCCACTGTGGGGCAAACAGGCTTCCCAAGGGGCCATTGGTCCCTCTCCAGTAGGGAGCACTGAGAGCCCCCAGGCCCTGGGGAGGGGTAGAGGTAGCCAGCCTCGCCATTCCTGCAGGCACCAGTCCTTCCCCCAGCTGCTTTGCTCCGTGGTGCCTTGCCGGGCAGCCCAGTCCGACCAGGTGGGAAGAACACGGCACTCGCCCCCTCTCGGCAGGGCCAGGCCTGCCTCGCGCCTGGCTCTTGCATGTGCTGGCTGGCAGGCCCGGCTCTGTGCCCCGGGGGGCTGCTGCTTTAAAGGGAAAAAAGAGCTAATAAAAGTTTTCTAAACTTTCTTGTTTGTTCTGGTGCCAGTGCGGGGCTATGGATTGGGGCAGGGTGGGGACGGTGCCAGGTATCACACCAGCCACCTCCACTGGGGCAGAAGCCACCCCTTCCACAGGCACGGACAACAGCTGAGGCCTCTGCCATCCGCTGCAGTTAGGAGGACAGAGCGGTGCAGCCTCATGTCTGGGACACAATCCTCTCCAGTAGTCTCGGAGGCCTTGGTTTGACTCCCGCCACTGACCCCCAAATTCCCTCCCAGCCCTTGAACTGGTCAGGCCATTGGTGCCTCAGTTTCCCCGAGCCACCCTTCCTTTCTCCCACCTTGTGTCTGGTTAACTGGGTTGCTCTTCCCCACAGGGGCGGCATCTCACTGGCTATACAGTGCCAGGGCGATGGGGCGACTAGCAGATCTAGCCAGTAGGGGGCAGTGATATGCCCAGGGGATTCCTGCCCCAGAGATGTTCCAGTGTCAATCATCAGAGGAGCCAGTGGCTTCCTTTGTCAGACCAGCTGTTGGGGGGCGGGGTCCTTAGAGTGCCCGGGTGCCACTGAGGCTCAGAGAACCACAGATCACCCCCACAGCATCCAGGGCACACGTTGGACCAGGGGCGCTCTCATCTTGCTCAGTAGAGCTCCCGTTTAAGCCTGAAAGGCACAAGAGGAGGGTTTGGGACGTAAGTAACCGCCCTAGTCTCCATTCACCGGCCTGCCCTGGGCGCTCCGCCTGGCTCTTCTGCCTGCAGCTGTGCAATTCGGGTGCCCCATCTGGGCTGTAGCAGCCCGGCTGCATGTGACTGGTTGATTGACAGCAGGAGCCACCCACAGGACATCTAACACCAGCCAGCATCAGCAATAAAATCTCCCTGCTGAGTAATCCGGGGCCTGCTTCCTGCGGGGTGTCAATCAGCCTGGCGCTACTCCCACGACACCCGCCCGCCAGCCCCCCACCCTTTGGTAGAGTCCCATCTGTGTCACCCCTCGCCCTGCAGGCAGGGGCTGGGCCGCCCCCTTGGCAGAGCAGCTTGCGGGGGCCCATCTGTCAGGAGGAGGCCGTTGGGGTTCTGCTGCAGCCCCCCTGGCAGCCGGGTGCGAGGCCCCGACCGGTGCCAATTACACGCAGCGCTGGATGCTAAATATTTCATGCTTCTCCCTCCCCTTCTGCAAACCGCAGGGGAGAAAACCTCCCCCAAGCACGGCACGGTCGCCGGCGTATCGACAGACTCAGGCCCAAGCAAAGGAGAACACAACAGGGCTCCGGCCTGGGCCCAGGCCCCTCTCCCCCAGCCCCCTAACTAGGGAAGTGGCCACACCGCTTTGCTGCAGATTAGCAGCTGAGCCCCACGTGACAACATTGTTTACATGAAGCAGGGGATGTGGGAAGCAGGAGAGCAGATGGGGGAGTTAGTTCTGTTAAGATCAAGGCCCTATCCTGTTGGAGGCCAGACAATGCAGAGACCCGGACCAAAATCAGGACCCGTGTTCCCTGTAAGCTCAGCGCCTGGGCAGTTGGGCAAATGAGATTTAAATGTCACCCAGCTGCTTAGAGAACCCCAGCCAGAAGCATATATTTCTGCAGGTGGTGCACATCCACACAAGCTTTGGTGCAAGTGACAAAATGTATTCCACACTTGCGGCAGGGAAGAGAGAGAAAATTACAGCCAACCCTTATCCGAATCCACACCATTACAGCAGACAGTCCCTGCCACAAAGGCTGCATCTAGACTGGCATGATTTTGCGCAAATACTTTTAGCGGAAAAGTTTTTCCGTGAAATATTTGCGCAAGAGAGCGTCTATACTGGCATGTGCCTTTGCGCAAAAGATTTGCTTTTGTGCAAAAGCATCCGTGCCAGTGTTGACGCACTCTTGGGCAAGAAAGCTCCGATGGCCATTTTAGCCATCGGGCTTTCTTGCGCAAGAAATAAACATGGCTGTCTACACTGGCCCTCTTGCACAAGAATACTTGTGCAAGAGGGCTTATCCCTGAAAGGGAGCATTGGAGTATTTGCGCAAGAACCACTGATTTTGTACAGTACAAAGTCAGTGTTCTTGCACAAATACTCGTGGCCAGTGTAGACAGGCGGCAAGATTTGGTGCAAAAGCAACTGCTTTGGCGCAAAATCATGCCAGTCTACACGCAGTCAAAGTGTTTACAAACTGTTGGGACTATAATGTTATTTCAGCCAAAAATGCAGGTTGGGTGATGCCGGCACCTTCCTCAAATTCGCGGTGGTTCTGGGTGGCTGTTTGCATAGATAACAAAAGGCAGAAAAGTGTTGCAACGGACATGGTCCCACTTTTTGTTATTTCCTGCCTGTTTATTTTTTCACGTCACAATAAAAAAGCCTCATGGAAAATGAGCAAAATGTTTTGTTCAAGCCAAAACAGCACCCGCCCCCTATACCCCCGCTTTTCCCTTTGCTGAGAACTGTGGAAAGGTGTGTTTCTAGGGACGACCCTGAAATTGGAGGGGGGAGGGGTAGATTTTTCAGACTTGCCAGCAAAGGAAAACACGACCCAGCTCTAGTTTCCAATAGAAATAGACGAGGCAAAGGGCAGGGTTGTGCAGCTTGGCTTGGGGAAAGTGAGGCTCAAAAAAGGAGGAATTGAACTCAGGTCTCACGCCGGCGCTTTCAGCACTAGCTCACTGCCCACTTGTCCTTCCAAGCTCCATTTCCTCAATGCTTGCTCCAGGGAAGGCTTGGCTTGGTTTTTCCAACCACATCCTTCGCGCCCCCAGCCGAAAGAGCCTTTTGCCATTAGAGAGTCACAAAAACAGCTGGCAGCCACTGGAGAGCTGCCCATCTTTAATTAGCCTTATCCTAATGACAAATCACCTTGTTAGTTTAAACCCCACACCCTCCCTTAACAGTAAGTGCAAAAAAATCATTAGGAAGCAGACAGTTCTTTCCCTTGGCGCCATTCACGTGGCCTCCAAATTTGCAGGTGGATTTTCCTCCAATGCCCCCAGCTTCCTGCAAAGACATTTGGAAGCTGTTTGTCGGATGAAACTGACAAGGGTCTGTATTTCCCCCCTCCCTAAGAGAAAAAAAAAAAGACAGCTGTAAAAATTGACACTGGCGTAATTTGGGCTGAATCCGTTGCCTATGTCTACACAGCAGCGTTATTCCGAAATAACGTAGCGCACGTCCACACAGCAAGCCCGTTATTTCGAAATCACTTCACAACAGGCTTCTTACTCCGACTTCTGAGTAAGTACTCCCCATTTCCTGAGGAGCAAGGGAAGTCGGGGGACGAGGTCTCTATTTCAGAATAACTGCTGCGTAGACAGAACCAAAAGTCGAAATTAGCTATTTCGACTTAAGCGACGCAATTAGCATAGCTCAAGCTGCGGAGCTTGTTTCGAGGTTAGCCCTGCTGCGTAACTGTGCCCAAAGCGAATGATTAAGGACACAGAGGGGGAGCCGTGTGGGTCTGTAACCGAAAAAAAACCCAACAACAAATGGTCCTGCCACATCTAAGAGACGAACAAAAAATGCAGATGGTACCATGAGCTTTTGCGGGCACAAATTGCATCGCTTATTTCGGAGTTCATTTTGAAATCAATTTTTTCAAAATTAAAATAGGGCCCTATTCTGAAACATTCCTTCCTCCTCGTGAAACGAGATTTACAGGGATGTCAGAATCACGCGCCCCTTACATTTCGAAACAAGGGGCTTGCTCAAAAGACATGGAGCAGCTGTTTCGTGATAGCTCCGCAGCGTAAACATAGCCCGGCAGAGCTACACCGCCAGGTAAATATACCAGCTAGCCACGATGCACGCGCGTTTATAAATCAGTCAAAGGTCATGATTTTCAAAGGCATTAGGATTGTTTATTAGGCATATTATGGTAATGCTTAGGAGCCCAGTAAGAGCCTAGGGCCCAGCATGCCAGGCACTAAAACACGGAACAGTCATGCCCTAAATCCATGCCACTTTGGTCGGGTTTCAGTTTCTTCAGGCACCATTTTTGCGCCAATCTCCTCTTCCAAGGTTCACCTGCTACATGACATCCCGCCTGTTCCAGAGAGCGGAGTGCAAGGATTTGAAACACCAAAGCCGGCGTATCTAGCTGGGTGCAAGACAGGACTGAAAGTTCACAGCCTAGACAGTCAGCAGGGGGCGGTAGAGCTAATGACCCTGCCTGGCCTAGAAATCGATGCATTTCTCGCTCTCTCAAATCGTTCTGGGAAAAGTGGGGAGGGAAGGGGCAGAATCCAGCAAAGCTAGCCAATGAGAAAAGAGCGCATGGCCAGACAAGGCCTCTACCAGTCGGCTACAGCTTAGCTGGACTTGGATGGCTACGAGTGACGGGTCAATCTTTTGGCTTCCTCTAAAGGCACTTTTTTTTTTTTTTAAAGCAAGAAGTTGGCTTCTCTTTATAGATTGCACGTCCCAACCTCGGGGCGACTCGCCGCTTTCCTTCACCCGCCACCGCCCCGGGGCCAACCCGGTCTCCACAGCCGGGGCAGGACGCGATGAAGCGTTGCAGGGCTGGCCACGTCCCCCTGGGATACGCCTGACTCCTTTTGGATTCGAGGCCCGGGACCGCTAGGGGCAGCTGACACGATGAAGCGGATTCTCGGTTCAGGCCCCTTTAAAGCAGAATAAAGTGGGCGGAGACAAACACCTGCCTCCTCCCCATATAGGCAGGGGGCAGGGCCTCCCCCAGCCCGTGGGAAGCTAGAAGGGCAACAAACCTAGCGGATGGTGGGCGTGGCCAGATCATGTTGCATTATGGGTACTCCACGCTTTTGTGCAAGAGCATGAATTAGAGCAGCCCAGAGACTGCTCTAGCTGACACTAGGGACTAGGCACAACCCCAGAGGTAAGGGAGAAACTGACCATCATGCCCTGGTCCAGGCCCAGGCAGCTCCTGGTGGGGAATCCAATGAATCCCCCTCTTTCCAGGGTTAGTTAAGGCCCTTTGGCCAGGTCAAGCTTTGTGGCACACCTGGAAATAAACTGGGAGGCTTTGGGGTTGACGGGAAGTCAGATACACAGATGCCAGGGAACTGGAAGGGGAGCAGGGCTCCTCACACCCTGGAATCTCAGCCTACAGCCAAGTCAGGCAGCTTGGGAGCTCCCTCCGGCGCTGATCCACAAGGCAGCCCTGCCTCACTAGCCCATCGGCGCACGGTCTGAATCAAACCATGCGAGAGCCTGAGGCCTCGATCCTGGAACAAGCTCCAGCCTCGCCTCCATGAGATCAAGGTCTCAGTCAAGCCAGGCTCCAGCCTGGAACAGGATGGCTAATTGGGGGAGGGGAGGGGGGAAGTCTCTCTCTATTCCCCTGCCCTGTCCTCAAGTCCTCCCGGACCAATTCCCCAGTGCCCTACCCCATTAGTCTAACCCCACTGCAACAATCACCGCCTGTGTGCAAACCAGACTGGCCTGATTTTCACCCCGCACACACCAGTGCAAATAAATGGGAATTCAGAGGTTTGGTGCAATGGGAATCCAGAACCAGGATTTTTTGCTTTACGAGACTCCTAGCCCTGCAGGGGTTGACTCCAACCAACCCGATACATGGGAGGAATTCAATTTTCTCCCCAACCCATGGGCTTCTCCGCCTCCCCCTCCCCCGCCCCCAGCCCTTTCGTAAATTACAGGCCAGATCCCCAGGTGCTGTAAATCAGTGTCACTGCATTGGAATCGATGGAGCAACACCCATTTACACCAGCACAAGGTCTCGCAGAACCTTGAGAACAGGGACAACTCCTCCTCCCAGTCAGACAAGCGTGAGCTGAGCCTCTCGGGATTTTCCCCTCTCCCCACACGCAAACCACTGAAGATTTTGGGTGCCTCCAGACTTGGGGTGCTCAATCACAGGCTCCTTAAAGGGACCGGCCCCTCCCACCCCCCAAACCTTTGAGGTAGGTCATGCTGGGCAAGTCCCCGAATTGCAGCACCTCCAAAGCAGGAGATGCTTTGAGGAAAGAAAAAAAAAAAACCCTCTCAGCACCCAATCCCCCGCTGCCTCATGCCTTCATTTTCACTGCCACCCCCCTGCCCCCAAAGGAGCATTCGACACTAGTGCAAACACATGCACGAGGGTCAGGCAGTGCACTAGCGCCCCCTGGCCACGTACAAGGTGTATGGCTCGGTGGGGAGCAGTCAGATGGGGAGGAGTTGCTTTGGAAGTGCCGATGCAGTGCCCCATGGGAGTTGTAGTTCACGGGCCTTAAAAGCTTCCATTCTCTCCCACCAGACAGGTTCCTTGATGGGAATCCCTGGTTAGGATACAGTCCAATGATGCAACTCCCCCACCAGGGAGAGTGTGGTGCATCATGGGAGATGTAGTCCAGCCAAGGAGGAGAGGAGGCGCACAAGGCATTTCAGAATCAAAGTAGCTCCAAGTTTTTGGTCAAGAGTGTTCAGGAAGTTAAAATTAACGGGAAAAAAAACCTGAAAAAAATCCAGTGGAAAAATAAATGGAATTCTCTCCTCCTCCCCCACACCTGTTTTACAGCATGAGAATTAATGTCCCGCACACCAACCGGCAGCAAAACCTGCGCACAAAACTTCCTGATATCTACCACATCCCCTCCCCGCTCCCCCCCAGCACCCCTCTCTGTCCCCTTCCAAACGCAGAGCGGTTGGCACTGATCTACATGGGGTTCCATGCCCTAGCCTTTTGCAAAGCTCAACCAGGGCCGGGTTAATAACAGACGCGCTCCCACGAGACACTGTGCACAGAGGCATCTAACCCCCTTTGGGTCCGCGGCACCCACACCAACGCAGTCAACGGAAGTCAGGACAGTTTTCGCCAGCTGCAGGGGCGGGGAGGGGAGGGGCTAGGCCTACCCCACTGCCTCCGAAGCCGGGTGGATGGGCTGGGGTGCCACATCCCAGGGACAGACGAACTGTGGAATGGGGCAAACCAGCAGGCAGATTCAGTGCAGAGCTGTCATAGGCAAACAGAAAACCCTGGGGCAGCAGCCCAAGAGATCTGTCCCTAAAACCTCCCCTTCTATTTGTCTATGACACCTATATGACCACTGGAAGGGGGGGGGGGGGGCGGGG